GGGATGATTGTGAAAAAAAGGGAGAGGAGGGGGTGTAAGTGAGCATTCACCACCACTGCCTACTCTCTCTCTCCCTCTCTCTGTGTTCAAACCAAGCAGTCATGTATTTATAGCAATATTGAATTTAATTGCATTTCTAGCAAAGGACGGAAAATTTTAAGAGACCCATAAACGAAATTCCAGGCATGCAGGAACACGATCCACCGTGCAAAGAGCATGTAAAGTGCATACTCATGGAAAGCAACCTGGCTTGCAATTTGTGTAATGCAAAAATATCTGAAGCGAAAGCCCATCAGCCCGCTGTGTCCTGGATACCAATGCCGGCTGGTAAGTGCTGACCCTAAGGCTGCTCGCTGTGCCATGTTTCTCAATGAGGCACGCATTGAGACACTGAAGAGGTACCCTGCTGGGTGGCAAATGACTGTTAAACTGGCTAAAAGATGACGTGAGATACTGTAAAATGCCCTGAGCTGAGCCTGTCATGAGCTCTCAAACCAACCCTGACCGTTTCATTTTCTAACAAGACAAAGACGGTTTACATAAAGGTAACAAGCAGTTGTAGGTCCTGCCCTTTGCAGAGCCACTGATCAGATTAAAATTCACTCTGTTTATCAGACAATAAAATGAGCATGAAGGATTATTTTACATTTATTTAAACACTCTAGTAATACAGAGCAGTGTTTTTATAGGGGGTGCAGAGGGCTCAATATCCAGGAGAATAGAAAAACTGAAATACCTGTATGTGATTTCTTTCTTTCAAGGACACCAGAGCATGAGGGCAACATCATTGATATGATTCCCACTCTTTGCCTCCCTCCACTTAATTCTTGTCACTCACAGTCTGAGCCAGAATATCAGACACGCTTAACACAGTGCCGAGAGTTATCCAATATTAAGTGTAATCAAAATCTTAATGAACATCATTAAAATCAAACTGTGGCTCTCATCACAGTGGCTTAACATGGCCTGGATAAATGTATGCCTGTGTGTGTTTCCCTAAAGCCATCGGAGCCTGTTAGAGTGTCTGTGGGAAAGCCACTTGGGGGGTCATTTTTTAATTCCAAGCCCGGTTGACATGTTTTTACTTTTAAATACATATTATTTGTAAATTCTTTTAATAAGCTGGGGCATGACAGTTCATTAAGCCGTATTAAAGAAAGCAAAGAGAAATATAAATAAGGATGGTGGGTGGCCATCTCAATTTTAAGAACCAACCCAAAGGTCACATGGTTAATCTAAGCAACAGCTAATGCTCTACTGGGATTACAGATTTACAAATTTAATAAATCCCCTAAATTTGACAGCTTTTGTTAACCTGTGACAGCTGTCCTACTGCTCTATTTATGATAGGGTGACCAAATGTCCTCTTTTGCCCAGACATGTTCACTTTTTACATTTGGTCATCTGGGCATCCAGAAAAATTAGCATGTACCGTCTGGTCGCGTCAAGTGGGAAGCTAAGTGCACCATGTGAAAAACTGTCACACATGTTTCAGTGTCTAATGAAGGTGCTGCAGATCTGAAAACTCACATGGACACTGAAAAACATAAAAAAGCTGTTTAGGGTGAGAGCTCCTCTGCAAAGTTGAATGAGTACTTAGTTAGACCTGGAAAACAGAGGATGCTGTAACGAGGTAATTTGTTGAAGCTGTATTTTCTAATAAGTTTTCTTACAGAAGGGGTCATATTGAGAACATTATTTGATTTTATGTATTTAAAAGAGAGCTATAGTTTTGTCACTATTTGTTACAGATTTTGTTTTTATACAGAAAAAAATGTTGCACCATTTAGGTACAAAAAATAAAGCATGTTCTGTAATCTTTGAGAAGACTCGATGCTGGCAAAGTGTCCTCATTTTCGGAAATCAAAATATGGTGCCCCTAACTTATGACTGATTATGTATAAGTGTGGGTTCCAAGTAAAAAATAATATGTCTTTTATTGGGGAAAACCAACCTGACCAATTTGTTTAGAGCCATACAGATGTGGGTCTGTTACAGGTGTGGATCTGTTACTGGTATAAACACATAGTTTTTTTTTTGTTGTTGCTTTTTTAAGACTTGTCTGTGTACTACTGTACAACTTGCTTATTCTGATTACTCTGTTTGTTAAAAAAAGAAGCTTTTTTGTGTATATTTATCATAACGGTCCATAACCATATTGGTTATGCATGTACGGAGTAAACCATTAATGGAGTTGAGCCAATCAGACACCAAGCATAAGTTAAAAAAGAGAACAAAGGTCTGAGCTCAAGTGACAGAATAAAACATGAACCTTGGTGTTTGCTGAAGTGGGAACTAAAGCTGCAGAGCATTGAGATTTCACTGCCAAATTGATGAATGCGTGAGTAAGTACATACAGTACAGCCAGCAGATGGCACACAACAATGTTTATACAGTATCTTCTGGTTGCGCCCGGTGCAGAACATTCTATCAGGGTCAAACTCGATAAGTAGGCAATAAGTATAAACTCTCAAAAAAATGACTGCCATAAAATATTAATAGAGACCCACACTAGGCAAGGTCTACCACACTAGGCAAGATCCCAGGTGCAGACTGTGCAAAGAGGCCCTTGAGACAATCCAGCGCAGAACTGCAGGATGTAAGATGCTGGCTTACATGGAGCACCATAACCAAATGGCTAGAATAGTGTACAGGACAATCTGTGCAGAGTATGGGCTAGAAACCCCAAGGTAAGAGTGGAAAACACACCCAAATATGGTAGAGATCGATCGAGCCAAGATCCTGTGGGACTTCCAGATAAAGACGGACCGAATGGTAATGGCAAACCAACTGGACATTGTGGTGGTGGGCAAAAAGCAGAGGTAAGCCGTGGTGGTTGACATAGTAATACCTAGTGACTGCAACATCAGGAAAAAGGAACATGAGAAACTAGAGAAATACCAGGATATCTGTAAGGTGAAGGCATCAGTGGTACCCGTGGTCATTGGGCACTATAGGCAGTGAGTGGAGGAAAAAAGGGAAGACCACCCATGGTGGGTGAGGAAGAGTTTATATATATATATATTTGCTTTGAAGTCCTTCAAATAAGTTTCAAGGACAGGAGATATACATTATGCTGTTGGAGATGTATCTAGTCAAGGAAAAACCATACAGTCATGTTCTAGAAAAAGGAGTGGCAGAAATCACTCTTATTTCGAAAAGATTGTTTAAAACTACAGCCGGGAGGATTTTGTTATGACTATCCAACTCTGAGTTCTCTGTTATTTTTCAAAGTTAAGAAAACTACAAGAATCTAACAAATCAACTCTTGAAAAGCACAAATACATTTAGTTTTGTTTTCATTGTATTAGAGTGTGAAATGATTGATAAAAATCACTATGAATAACTGTTTTATAAATTTTCATTAAAACTTTAACCATTAAGAATGCACAGATCCAGCTCTTTCTGGGTGATACTGATACTAATATGATGAAGGAATTCAAAAATATTCCAGTTTCATCCATCAAAGTACAACGTTCAGGTTAGTTTTCCATACATAGCATCAATACTCATTAAAATGCAAGACAATACGTGATGAAAATACACATTTCCGAACTAATTTCCAATCAAACCAATGCAAATTATACAGACCGATTCAAACCAATTCAATATGATTCAGTTTTATTCAAAAGTAATACAGTTGAGGTAAAGTCAGTTGGTATTTTTGGTAAGAAAACAAACAAACAAACAAAAAAGAAAGCAATGAAAACGTCAATTAAAGTCCACCTGATTGCACCTCGACTTCCCCCAAGCATAGCAATACTTTTAATCTTTATCTGAAATGTTCACCTTCATCAAAATAAAGCAGGTGTTTAATGCATTTACAGATTGAAAATCGCTCCACACGTTCCTGCATTTAACAAATTAAAGCATTTATAAGCATCTGAGTGGAACATCATCAGTCAGAGTCAATCAAGAAACAGATGCATTTACAGGATTAATAAGAAGAAATCTTTTTTTCAGGAATTGATACCATTTTATTTTATGCTGATGAAGGTTCTCATTTTATTTTATGTTAAAATATCATGATATATTTTATATTTTATTACCTTTGTGCAAATATGGTTATACTTAGAACCTATTATACAATGAAGTTCTCACCACCGGCCTGTGCTTGAAAAAAGACTCAGAGAGAAACGTTTAGAATGAATGGAACACTAAATCTTTTTCTTGGCAAAAATAAATGATACTGCCATAAAATATCAATAATTCCTACACTACATCTTTGATCATATAGTCTCATATCTATCGAATGCGTGGTAAAGCACTGTCACCTGAATATTAACCCTCATTTTTCGTATTTAAGGGCATGGTTTAGGTGATATGAGAGCTCATGTGTGCAAGAAATTGAACCTCTTCAACTCAATAGTTGGAATTAAATGTGCTGGGTGAACGGGGTTAGCGTCATTATCAAACAGTCAATCTGAAATATGGTGACGTGAGATCCACGGGGGTCGTATGGATTATAAACGGTGTGCATGTGCGCGTGCTGGGGGTGGATGGGGTGATTTTTTTTCCCCCTTCTCTCTCGCGCGCGCGGACCTTAGGCACGAGCCGCTGCTGCTTGGGCACGCGCTGCCTCTCAGCCAGCTGCTTTAAATAAAGCTGACGAGAGCAAAGGGAAGCTTGCCGTTTATCAATACAAAAATAATTTAAAAAAAAAACACTGGTACTGTTACCAGTTTCAAATTATTTTTGGTTACTGCTTCGCGTCTTGCGTTTATCATCTCATAAACCTTCAGACAATTATTTTTTTGCATATGAAAAGCGACTAGAGGAGTCAGAATGAAAACAGATTAAAATGAAAGAGCTGCGTAAATTTTAAATGCTGAGACGTTGAACTTGAATAAAACTGGACTTGTTATACATAAATTTTAACCTTTATAAAAAGCCATGCTTATCATAATGCGTGCCATATCTTTTTAGAATCCCACCCAAAATACCTTAGCTATAGCGAGACGAGGAAAGCTGCTTTTTTTTTTTTTAAACTTTGCTCTCACCTCCAGTTGTCGGTGGGTCGCAGTCCAGGATCCCCTGGGTGTTCAGTCTCTGTCCGTGGTGCTGAATCTTATCTCGGGCTCCGCGCAATGTAGCTTTGTAAATCCGCTGCGTGGATGCGCTGAAAACGCCGGTACAACAGGAAAAACTGCTGCCTGGCGCTCAGAAGTTAAAGAAATTCCCAATCCCAACACGCCGAGCGACAGATGCTCGAAACCCGTTAGCGAAATAGGTGAGTTCGCATTTAGGATCGTGAATATTGAAAGCGAAGCCTGTTGGCCAAATGAAACCGCTTTGGCAAGTGTAATTGCTGAGGCTTCTTGGCCAGCTGCTTCTTCCTCCGGATAGGCTTAAACACCTACCCCTCCTCCCCCACCCCCTCTCTCTTCCTTCCACCCCCCTATCTCTCTCTCCCTCTCCTGTTCTCAGTCTCTATCAATCACAGCTTCCATTCAAATATGTTGGAGCGACATGAAGCGGGAGCCTAATTCTGTAGACTGCATCAGACATGAGCGAATTACTGCCAATGCTGGCACAGGGCTCACTGTGATAAAGGCATCGTTGATTGGACTATAAAGTCAGAACTCAAGGGACGGTTTATTTGGAGAAACATCTCTAATACATTAGGCGTTTGCCTGTAGTTTTAAACCATGAAAGGCCTTTTCTGTTGAATATTTTAATTGCAAATGCTGCTGTAATTAATAATAAGAAAAAAGAAAAGAAAAGAAAAATAAGATAATTTGGCAACATGCCATTCTTGTATCAAGCAAAAACCTTATCCCGGAGCAGATGAGATACTGGTAACTAAATGCAGAAACTGTTATACAAATTGTTTAAACCATGTAAATATTAAAAAAGGGAAAAAAAAAAACCTAAAGAAAATGTATAGACTTGTATTCACATTCAAAACCACGTTAAATAAGTGATTTACATGTAAATCCTAACCACAGGTTTCCTATGTGTTTTGGGAGCATTGTTTATGATTTTATGAATGAAAAAGTGAAGAACATTTGAACCAATGTATGATCATTCTATGACTAAGGAGTAATCAATATGGCACTGTTTTTAAAAAGATGAATCTGTATTTCTAGTTTCAAACTGAAACATTTACAAACAAACCAAAAAAAAACTAACAAATAAAAAACAACCAAATCGAGAGAAAAAAAAAAACAGACTGAAGGTTAACCCAATGTAACATCAATGCATCATTGTGTTAAAAAAAGAAAGAAGAAAAAACCTAGACCCCAAAAGAACTACGTATGTCTATAACTGGTGCTTTTAAACAACTGTTTCTGGAATATCAAAAAATATCATCCGTCTGACTTTGAGTATCTCCAAAAGTATTAAATCTGCCTGCCACAGCAGCTTACTCAACTTCAAAGTTTGAGACGTTCAGATAAGTCCTTCCAAGTTTTTGTTTTTGCATCCTGCTAAAACAATTCTTACTGCTGTGCTGCCAAAGCCTTTGTTGTTGAGTCAACCCCATAAATTACTTGCAATAACATTTTCACAAGACAGCTGATCATCCTTACAAAACTTAAAAACCAAAGAACTTATAATTAATAATTATAATATAATAAGCTACTATTGAACTTACATTTTTAACAGTGTCTTTTAGAGGCTTTTATTTTGTTAAATTGCGACTTTAGACCAGAATCCAGAATGATCATGACCATATCATCCAGCCCTACTCTCAGCTTTTGTAACATGTACAAACTTGTTTTTGTTAAATTCTGTCAAGTGAAAGACCTGTGATGTCAAAGAGAGCATCTGGTGTTTTTTTTCTCCTTATTAAAGTGAATGATGAGAATTTTATGATAAAGATCCCGCCAATCGCTTTGCTTCTTATGGACTTCTGCTAACTATTACAGTACTCATAGCAGTTGACCTCTTTAGATAACCCTGAAGCTGATCGTTGAGTGACTCGCTATTGCTTATTGTGTTAAATGCATTATTTGGTAACTTTAGGTTTTTGTCTATGTTGGTCTTGTTTTGTTTTCCATTTATAAGTGTTTTAGATTGATTCAAGCTGATCACCATTTTATTTGCTTATAGAATTTTGCCTTCACCCTAAAATAAGAGCCAGCAGTTTAAAATATGTTCTTCTTAGTATGAATGATCTCTCTAATCAAACTTCACACTGCAGTTTTTTTTCACCAACACCCCCTTTAAATAATTAACTAATAACTCACAATCAGTAAATACTTTTATTTATTTAGCCATTTATTATGGCTATCGGATTTGTGTGTTTTTGCTACTATTACAACCAGTAAGTTGTTTACTGGTAGTAATGGTAAATTATTTCATTTAGTTAGTTAGCACTTTGATCTGCTCTTGGTCAAGACAAACGCATCCCAAGAACCACCAAGAATTTCAAATGAATGAAACTTTGCCAGATTTTCTAGCAAAGACTAAGGCAGAAAGTAAATCAACAGTGTCTGCCTGAACAAAAACCGTTATGTCAATCTGAACCTAGCTCCCATATGCTGGCCTTAAATCTGGCCATTCTCCTGGAATACATGCAAACTGTTTAGTTTTGTTTCTTTATTCTTTTTCTTTGTATTTTTTTGTATTCTTTATTTATATATTTCTTTATGTTTTGTGTAGTTTTACCATTTTCGGGTTTGTCCTTATTTCATTCATCTGTTTTCCAGCCCTGTTAAACCAGTGCTCCCAAGGATTATTGTTTGATTTTTATTCAAATTTACCTTCCTTTTTTTTTTAAAGAACTTCAAAGCCTCTGTAAATGTAACAAAAAACCCTAAAATGACCTGCCTCAATTGGGACTTCAAAATGGCCCTTTGCTTGGCCCAGAAAAACCTCCCCACAAACAACATATGTCATTGTCAGAGTGAAAGCTATATTAAAGGCCTTGTGAATTCATTTTCTGAATGTTTCTATAAAACAGCAATACATCTAAAACTTGCAGTTGCAGCTCTGATCAAAGGCAGAGGTGGACAAAACAACTGCTTACTGCCTTCCACATACAATGGCCATAAATTCCTCTGACAGTAAAACCATTACAGTGGCTTGAAGCTCTTCACAATTTCACCTGTTACATCTATAACCTGTAATGTAGCGTTCATGGATTGTATATGACAAATACAAAAGTGCAAATTTTTAAAGTGTTAGGAAAACAACTTTCCTTAACTAATAAACATGAAAAACTGTGACCTCTGTGTGTACTTAACTTTAATACCTCTAAATAAGATCAAGTGCCTTCAGAAGTCAGCTAATAAGTAAATATTCCCCCTTGTTTGATTGATTTTATCTGTTAGTTGAGGCTAATGGCCAATGCCGTAAATATCGGCAAGCAGAGACTGCACTTGCTAAGGGCCCCCCGACCTCTTAGGGGCCCCGTCACTGACACCTGGTAGGCCCTCTAAGCAATTGTGGAATAGGACGTCTCTTTGAAGAAGTAATGGTGTGAAAACTTCTTCTTAAACCAACCTGATACTAGGTTTACTGACTGGACTTTATTTATAGCCCAACCCATTCCAGATTTTTTAAACACGACACCAATAGCAAAGCAGACAGTGGTACTTTTTTATTGCTATGTTAATAACTGTGTATAGTTCATTTGAAGGTTGGTAAAAAATACACTCACATAATATGCTTCAAACCGCAATAAAGATCTTAAAAGAACTATGTATTTGAGTATTTTATTTTTTTACACTATGACTTGGAATTATGGGTAATCCAGAGTGTAGATTAAAACCATAACCGTTGTGTAGAATGTGTTAGCGATGATGGATACCAAAAAGAGGTACTTAAGCGGAATGTCATATGTACTTCATTTGGGGCCCACCTAGATAATGTTGCTTACGGGCCGATTGTTGTGTCGTTACACTATTGCTGATGGCTATGTCCTCGTAGATTCATCATGATGCCATACTCATTTTACACTTCGATGACAGATTTATCCAAGCCTGCCTTACGTGTTTCCTGGTCTTTTTGATGATCTTGTTCACTGCTTAGTTAATTATCCCTCCATACCTTTTGATGAATATTAGCAGAGACAAATACATTGTTTAAAGAAAGTCATAATAAATCAAAGTTACAAAGAAAGCCACAGGTTATGCAGATTAAACAGTAAACATATTCAAGCAGCTTTTATTATAATACTAGAGTAAACTGTCCATAAAATCCAGTGTGATAGTGTCATATTTTGCTGGCCCTAAAATCGCCGGAAATTCTTTCATAGGCCGAAAAACCTTGAGACTAAGATGGTGGTTAAAGTTTCTGAGGAAAAACAAAATAATCATACAGTCCGAACAACAACACAAAGCTTTGTTTAGACATACAAAGTCCTGCTTTAAAGCAAGACTTTGTATGTCTAGACAAGGCAAAAAGTGTGTCTAAAAAATGCAAAAAGCATAACATTGTTATGGAAAAAAGCATAACAACGGATGAGGTCATAAGTGCACAGATGGATGCCCTGGATACATCGCAGGCATATCATGCAGCAAAGTTGGAACAGAAATAGAACATGAAAAGGATCAGGTCAATAACTCCATATCAGCTAACACGCTGTAAAGTCATGGTTCAGTGCCATACAACATTAGCTTGCATAACCCCACACCCCAAACTTGGAGTTATGACAATAATATGGTCATACAGTATTTTTTTGTCATCCGCTGGGCTCTACAACTGTGTGTAGAAGAAAAAACTACTCTGTCTCATTAGTTCTCAAAATTGCATCTACATGACTGACTGCACACAGCTTCTTGAAATCAAGGAGAGACAGAAAAGCCATCACACACTCAACTTATCAGTTCAAAGTTATTCAAAGAACCCACACACACAGCGTCACGATAAAAGTAATTTGCCATGATTAGCCAATCAGTGCCGATTAGAATCGGCTTATGGAGTGAGATGTGAGGTGACTGTCAGAATAATCTTTGATAGAGGAGATCAGAAGGTTATTCCTCTGCCCGATTCAAAGTGAATGTGTGAATAGGGGTGTTAAATATTTAGAAACAAACCCTGATCCTATTTTGGGTAAGATCTCCAGCTGTAGCTTCAATGTTATGTAACAAGCGTTTTCATGCTTTTGGGGTGTGTGAAAGAATGCAGTCTGACAGGCAGAGAGTGGAAAGTTGTTTTTCAGCCTTTCATCATAAGTTCACCATTCTTACCTGTAGACACCAGCGGAATTTAGAGTGCTTCAGTATGGCGTAACATAAAAGATTACTGCAGTTGTATGATATTAAACATGGATGGAGATAAATTCTTGTCATAATTATCCAACTCATATTCTCTATTCGAGAGAAAAACTCCAACTTATCACTGCAGTCAGATACAGTCTCTTTCAAAAATATCCA